ATGAGCACAGCATACCAGTGTACATCGACCAATAAAACAATTACAGCAGTGTTCTCTTATGCCATATAACCCGGATGTGTAATTATTTATTAAAATGTACACATAATATTGTTTCCTCACAATGTCTCGACTTAATTCTACCCCTTATAATTAGGACTTTATTTATATTTATGTCTAATTCTAATAAATCCAGAGAATCCGGTATTTCTCTACAGACCTCAATTCTATACTGCCCATAGAACCTAGTATGCTCCCCATAATACAGAAGATAATACAAAATCGCCGCCAAAGTTACAAAACGGTCTGCGTAGAAACACGTCTACACATACCTACTTGTCTAAAAATGGGAGGTCGCAATCGGTTATTGAATACTGTAATATAGATTCTTATGAATATTCATTAGTTTTAAATTTCATTATAAATAAACTATTCCTCTAGGTAACATCTAATTATATTAGTAATCTAATCTAAGTTTTATAATTTTCATGGATTTATATGGTTAGTAAATAATATAAGATTTGTATCAAATTAGATTAGTCAGAAATAAAATCGATCTTGTTCTTTGAAAAGAGAGGGCCTTCTCTAGGAATGACATTATTATTAAGATGCGTTCAAAAATAACGTAATTTAAACTGCGTTCTAAGAAATAAAGACTTATTTTAGAGAGGAATATCTTTCTTTTCCCAGCTTTTAAAAATAAATTGTTGGTATATAATAATAACATTAAACTTATACTACATTTTGGTAATAGTTCCATCTTGGTACAAGAACTTTTTTTTCCTAGTCCGTTTTGGCCATTGTTCTTTACTGTGTCTTACAATAGTTCATATGTTTCGTTTAAACAAAATCATCCTTAAGTGTTATATTCCAATAGAAAATTGGTCCCATAAATCTGTATACCGATTCTACTGTATTTAACTCCATTTTTCATTATGGCAACTAATGGACAATACTAACATTTCACGCTACTAACGGATTAGGAGCTGCCAGTTCGAGCGGCGTGGCCAGCATGAAAGCAGGTGAGGCACAAGATTGGGAACATTTTTGAATGTTTGTTTATACAAAGCAGGCAAAGATTAATTGAGTGACAATTAATAGGGCATCTTTTTTCTATGAAAATTTTTATTTTATTCTGGCAAGTTGATACTTTAAATGAATGATCGTTTTTAAATTAATTAAAAATTAATAGTTATCAAAGAAATATTATTCCAAAGCCAATACCCATTCAGAATATTTTGATTTTTTTTCTGGGTTATCCATAACAGTCCGGCTGTCCGATTTTTTTCTGGTTCGGCAGGCCATATGTAGTAATGCTAGCCTGTGCACTGTCCGGAATTTTACTTTTCTCTATTATAATCCTGTCTTCTACGTCTTCGCACGTAGAGTAATAAAGCAAGCATTTCCCGACGTTCCAAAAATCTTACCTAGCGCAAGTGACGTGTAGCTTCAAAAAGAGTTGCGCTAAACTGCGCCGCTCCGATCCGGATAAAACGGACAAGTGGACAAGCTAATCATCCGGGTGTTTCATGTCATTCTGGACCGGAAAAAACCGGACTGCCTGACCTGAAAATTCAGTGTAGTGCTCAAACGCCCTAAGACATCTCCAAAGTTTCACATTGATTGTGTTTTTAGTTTATTTGTAGGCGATATCACAAAAGGAAATGCACAGAACCCAAGATAGGCGTCGATCTTGCGTTGATTTAGAACAAGCTTTTTAATATTATGTAAATAAAAACTCAATATGACATTCATTCTAGAAAGTTCAGTGTGTTTTGTAGCTTCAAGTGCAAAAAAAAATTGTGTTTAAAAAAATTAAAAAAAAATATTCCACTTGGTCTGTTTTGGTGCTTAATAGTGCAGAAATATGATTATTTAGGCAAAAACATATTTTGTCTAGTGCTTGTTTGCTTTGGTGGCGAGACCAACTCGAGATACTATTCGCGAATCCCAAACCTATTTGAAGCAAAGAATGACGTTTAGACTTGTCTTAAAAAATACAAGAAGCTAACGGTTGGTTGCACAAACATCCATTAAGGTTTAATGACGCCTTTAAGCTCTAATGAATGTCAAATTTGTATGGCTAATGTTACTTTAAACTAATGAAAATTTTAATGGACGTTTGTGCAACTGGCTGTAAATCAATTCAACGTTTTTTGATGACATTAAATGAGTTTATAAGGAGGTTATACCAAGCTTTGAGCTACATGAACTGTGTCACAAATCAAGCTTATGAAAAGATACATTGATCAGAAAATATAACGCACATCTTGATAATTCAGTGTCATAGAATAATTGATATAGCTACTACTAATAATAATAAAGACTATTCAAAGCATACCTGAAACCTAGCCTCGCTTAGCTTCCTTACTTTCGGTTGAGGATCTCGATATTCCTCAAGCCACATCGGTAAACTTATTGTCATATGTTTCCTCTTTTCCATGCTGCTATCGACCTATTGGATCTTTCCTATCTGGTATACCCTACACGTATCATTCCCGGATCTGCATGCTTATATTTCGTAAATAATTACATTACATTCACTATCTCTTAACTTGCACCAACAATATGCAACAAAATGGCGGTCAGCTCCTTCTAAAAAATATAAATACAAACACGCTATTTTGGACATATAATATTTAACTATCGAATTGTAACTATGCTTCCATTTGATAACACAAACGTTGTTTTTAACATTGTTTTACACTCTACCTATTAACTTTTTTACTTATACTATTGTTATTTTTAAAACGTGCCAAATTTTGTTTGTTTATATTATCGCGTATTTGATTAAAAACCATATACAATTTGATCCGAGTGTTTCTGTACCCACTGTAGTATCACTGACTGACGTCACAGCTCATATTACCCCTACATCGGTGACGTCACCCGTGGCTACCGCCGCGAAAATAACTACCACGTCATCGGAAACAACTAACGAGCCTGACGTTGCATTCCCAGCTGTACTAAAAGGCTCTCAAAAGCAGAGAGTGCCACCTCCAGTTCCTCCTAGAGGATCCCCGAAAGCCAAACGTGGTGGTGGCAACTCTCAGACTTCCAGTTTGGAAACCAAAGGTGATTACCCTAATTTGAATATATCTGTCAACGACATCCCTCCACAAACACCCATCACAAGCAGTGATGATGACTTCTGCTTCTATGGGCATGATTTTAAGTTCAAAGAACCTGTTGCATGTCGCATCCCTCCGTCTGTATCTGAGCATTCCGTTAAAATGACGAAGCTTGTTGCATCTAACTCTTTCTTGGACTTCGTGGAAGAAGGAAATAGCATTACCGAAAGGTCGCATCCGGGTAAAGACCTGATTGCGCAAACGACTATGATGGCCAAGTTTAATATCGATAATGCTGTAAGAGAACATTTAGATGCTGGAGATTATCATGATACATCTTTCACAGAATCTAGCAGTGAGGAAAGAATTGTGGTTTGCGAAATCAAGGATGATATTAATAATATTCAAAATGAAATTATTGGAGCTAATGGGGATAATGATAATGTAGAACTTAAAGGCAGACAGTCTAAAAGTCCAACCCAATTCATAAAAGGAGTCGTTTCGCAAATAGGCGACAAACTGTCTCGAAAATCCCCGATAACTTTAGATATACCCGGTGAAAGGTTTAGTGTTCATAATGTCAAATCATCAGACTTGATATCTGCAGCCAAAACTTTGAGAAAAACATCAAGATCCGATACAGATACAAGTCAAAGCGGAATAGATAGAGAAATTGAAAACAAGGCAGATAAAAACGAATCTAAGCCAGGAATTATGGCTGAATTAACTAAACGACTAAATTTCAACCAATCTAAGAGAGATAAAAATCGGGTGCAAGATACAAAAAAGCCCATACCTAAAGTAGAAATAAAGACATACACAGAACAACACTCAAAAGGAATGACAAAAGACGAAGTGATATGCCACAAAAAAGCGAAAACCAAAATAGACATGTTCCAAAAGCATATTTGGAAGGTACAATCTGATTCTGAGAGTAGTTCGAGAAGAAGTTCATTTTCTTCTTCCCAAGATAGCAAGCGATCTAATAGAACACCAGATTTGGGAAAGAAGGTTCTAGTTAAAGAAGCTAAGAAATTATTTGAACCTATAAAATACGGTAGTTCAAGCTCCATTGAGAAAAAATCCAATTATTCACTAAACATGACATCTGTTAATCCTATCATTTCTAAATCCATAAGTGGTAACGTTCATGATAAAATTAAAAAGTTTTCTGAAGCGACCGTATCCGATTCGAAATTACCAAAGAAAATTCCTAGACAGAAAAAGAAAAGTAGTTTCAGAAAAAGATCAGAGAAACGAAAAATATTCAAAATGAGAAAAGAAGTAGAGGAAGTGTTATAGGGATGTTATTTATTATAATCATATAAAAGAAGTTATTGGATTGAATTTTTACACCTATAACAATTTCGATACTTAATGAGACATAAAATTTAAAATTTTCCTATAGTGGAAATGACTAACGGAGCTGTTTATAAGTTCCTATTTTTCGTAGTTTGACAATTTCCAATGTTTTTTTACGTGATCGTAGTGGTACAATACAAATTATGTAGCACCTAGCGTTTTTGTGTTGTTCCGTGTTTTTCCTTCTAACAAATTGCCTGATTTACATTTTTCCTTTAGATTATACCATTTTTATTTTTGTTTTAGCTCATTTAAGTAGCATACATATAGATTTTTCATTTCATTTTAGGCTATATACGCATCTAGTAAAGTTTATTTTGTAGTGATATGTTTATTTGTCGATCTTATTCATTCATTTTAAAACTTATTTCCAAGTCTAACTAGTTTAAGCTTTATGTAGTCCCCTGTGTTGCACCATTTTCATTATCACCTAATATTTCTTATGGAGTTTTTTTTTTTGGAATGAAAAGTACTAGGATCATTCATAGTTTTAATTCTTCCTACATTAACATTATTTTTTTATGGTATGATTAGAAAATTCTCCGTCCCTTTCTCGGATTCCTTGCCCGTATGTGTCACCGCTTTGTAGTACATTCTATGCTAGACAGTAATGCTAGCTTTCTCCCAGCGGCTGCCCCGTTGTCGTGTTGTTCAACGCCACCGCCACCCTTCGAAGAGGCGCCACCTCCGCGGACGAGTAGAACCAATTCTTCCTCAACGACATCGTCGAGCGCTTCAGGCAGGCGTCGGGGTGCTTCTAGTGCTGCAAGCGTCATGACTACATCTTCTGCGTCGTCACTAGCGTTGACCCCTGCAGCATTAAGCAGCGCTCGAAGTAACGAAGCCAGGTATATAAATAAAGAAATAAATATTAAACAACATCACATACATTGCTCAGATTCCAAGATGAGTAGCTAATGCCCCCGTACTATGGAGTATCTGAGACAACGATGTTACTACAATACCCAGTCCCGAGACAATATAGAAAATTCCAATTTCTACATTGATTCGACCGGGAATCGCACCCGGGACCTCAGCGACACCTTGAAAACGGCGTGCGAACCCCACGGCTACGGAGGTCATATATATTTATACAATTATTTTGAAATACATTTTGAGAACTATCATCATTCTATATTTTGTAGTGTCTGTTGGACACCTCCTGCGTCAGTAGAAGGTTCGACACCAACATGGACAGAAGGAACTCCTAGCTTTACGGAGTCAAGTAGTAGTGAACAAGGTAAGCTCAAACTTAAGTTACTCAATATAATTTCAACACAGATGAAAAGACGTTACATACGGCAGATAATTACATGGAAAAGAGATACGATGAATTTTATATCAGATTTCTTTGTTTTTCTACAAAATAAATAGGGATACGGATGTCACATAATTTTGTTATTGTAAAAAGTAGCTAAACATAATTATTATAAAAATTGCTGTCCGTATGTCTCGCTAAAACTTGAGAACGGCTGGACCGATTTAGCTGATTTTGGTTTTTTAATGTTTTTCTTAGCCCAGGGAAGGTTTAAACGGTGACAGGCGAAGTATACAAAGTATATCGTTATCTAGTTATAAATAAATAATGACAATACAAGCAGAACTTTAGTAACTAAAATACCGTTCTGTCAACGAAATCTCAATTCGAATAAAAAACTCAGAAATAATATTGCTGACGAAGCAGTCACCGTCCAGACACCTCAGACTAATTAAATTTTCGTTTATTTACAACCTGAAACTCAAACGTGCTCGTTTCGCGGTCATTAAATGTAAATTAAAAATATTCATCCAGATCAGGAACAAAGCCACTTCGATTTATTTAAGACAGTAAAAAATATCGATATATCGGCTTTGCGAAACGATATTGCCTGATATCGTTTTTTTATAAACCTTGCTTGCATCTCTAATCGCGTATTTTTTTAATGTAATTTGCCAGAAATAAATACACTTCATTACTCAGGCTACCCCATAACGCCAGCGCGTGGTGCAACTCCTAGTGAGGGGCGGCGCTCACCGCGTCCTCCACCGCCCCCCGCGCGCGCCCTCCCTCCCACCACAATCAACTGTCTCACCAGCGAAGTGGTAAGTTATTAGTTGCGATTTTCATCTGACTTCTTAATTCGTACGTTCGCTTTAACGTAAAGCATAGTTCGTATTAGTTCTGTTCGACAGGTAAAGGTAACAGTACACTGTAAACGATAGACGACTGATGTGTCTGCGTCTATACTTTGAAGATTAAAGACCTATAATAAAATATTTCAAGAACAACAAGTATATACTAATTGTTTAAAACAGCAATTACACAAGAATACAAATATCAAATTTTAATAGGAGCGAGACAAAAAAATACTTTACTCGATGACAACATAATGTGTCAAAAACTTGTTGATACTCAGTATATAACTTTACATAAGTACTTTAAATGAAAATGTTTAAAGTGATTTATTATAAAGCGGTGCGCAAACCATCCAAACGCAAACTATGTAATTGTGCCTTTACTGTAAATTGTCTCATTACATTACAGCGAGCGTCAAACTTTTCGATTTTAGCTTAGTGATGCAACTTTATAGCGAGGTTATAGTTATAATCTATCTATAAGCTTTAACTGCTGAATTAACTAACTGCTTAACTTAACTAACAAGCTGTATGATATAAATATAAGTTTTTAAATGGTGTTTTACTAATACTAATGACAGGTGTTGTTGAAAACAATTTAAATGCCTATTACCTCCATAATCCTCGTATGCAAAACTTATACTTAGATAAATATTAAATGCCTATTTGCTTAGAAGGCATTATCTCTATAAAGTATAAAATTTGCTTAGAAGGCATTATCTCTATAAAGTATAATTTATTATTATGCTATAATACGCTCATGTCACATTACTTATTGAAATATATTTATGTAAAAAGAGTGAACAATTCTGAATATTTTCGGAATTTTAATGTTTGAATTATTTTCATGAGTTGTACATTCTTTTTAAATATTATAATGCTTTCACTTATTATATTTACAGAATGCATTTAAGTATCATATTAAATCTACTTTTTAATAATGCTGTATTTATTTTTTTGGACGCTGCTTCCACCATGGATTTAAAGATGAATTTAAAAGAAAGAGTAGAAAAAGACTACAAATGATAATTAAACAATCGGCGTTTAGTAAATTGATTGCTTAATTTTTATTTCAAAATTTAAGCGCTAGCTTTTTTATAGTATTGTAATAATGAAAGTTGAAGCCTTTTTTTGAGTTCATGGCTATTTAACATTTTAAATAAAGAACACAAAATTGGGTGCTTCCATTTTTCAAAATGGGAAGAGCTTTTTTATATCCTACGTATTAGAAATTAGCAATAAAATCGATCGGTGTAAAACGGTTCGCGTTAAATCGATTTTTGTTACCGATTGTAAATAGTGTTGCCATTATTAAATATAATAAACAGCTAAGTGTCACGTTATAAGAACATCAAATAAGTCTCAACAATAAGATGCCAAATATATTTATGGCCCCATAATCCTTTACGCTTTGGTGTCACTAAAACATGTGTTGTTAACTCTTTAGATATATTTTGACACATTATCATCAATCATTTCATATAATAGTGTTTCATTAAAAATATTGGTTGTATACCAAAAAAGTCTCATGAAATATGACTGAATCCATCTTGTAATGTAATTTAACTAACTTCGTTAATGTAAGAGAAGTTTAGTGTTACGTGCAGGGTGTAGTTACATCTGTTAATAACTTTAAAACACCCTATAGAACATCAATCAGATGTATTTTTTTTGTATACCATTCAATTTGTATACTCCGTCCATTATACCAATTTGTCGTATGTTTGTAGTGATTATTTATTAATGTATATATAAAGGCATATTTAGTCGAATAACATAGGTCTGCTGTGAATCCATGATATCATTAACATAGTGATTTTTTTTTCCTTTTTAGACAACTACATATTTTGCCATTGTGATAAGAACAAAGTTTATTGTTCTTATCAGAGCCCAACAAAAACAAGTATAATCTAATCTACAAATCGGTCAAATAAAATCAGATTTGCATCGAAAATCTTTCATTAAGACTAAATACATAATGGACGGAGTTATTGATTGTATTATGTAATAAATAAACAAATCATATCAATTGATTTACATAGTACAAAATTAAATGTGCTATCACAAAGATCATGATGATTGTAGTTGATTTTTCTAAAAAAGGTACCGTAGCAGGCAAAAGTACGTAATACGTACAGCCAAATGTAACATAGATATTTCAGTGTTGCCTAGTTGATGTCGATCGAATATTACTGTTAACTGTGTATAACCGAATAATATCGCTAAAAGTTTGTCTGAAATACAAAAGCAATCTGATGCCAGCTTTTGAATACATATAATCTGCTTTTTTGTGAGTGTAACGTTAATGAGTCGATATAATATCTAATGATCTGTAAACACTTTTAACTTCTGTCTATTGCGATTTACGTAGGTTTCATCTACAACTTTTTGTTATAAAAGTTTTAATGTACGAATGGAATCATATTAATGTTAATTAACAATGTTTGCTTTTATAAAAAATCGATGAATTACATTTGATTAAGTATTGAGCTATCAAACCACTATATAATTATATTCTTTAATGGAATATATTCACGAACTGTGAAACGTCGATCTTCGATACTGATGGAGTATAATAATTTTATTATTCTTAAAGTCTTTTACCGGTGGTTTGTAATGGCAGTATTGATACAAAAGTGACTACAGATCGTAAATAAAATAATATTTTTAGGTTCTTGTGGGAGTTATGGGTAACATTTAAGATTATAATTAGGTAATGCCTTATGCGATTGCTTAAAATAATTGAAAAAAAAAATATACAAAATCATGACTGTAACTTTTAAGTTTATAGCAGGTATACGTAGTCTTTTAAATTTATCAGTCCATACTTTAAATCTTCTTTGAAAATGTTTAATATTGTAAACTCTTTTTTGATATTTCTCATTCTATTAATTTCCGTTAGTAACTCCCTAACTCATTGTAAATTTTAAAAGTTTGCACTGAGATTTGTCATTGTTAAGTGTGTATGTCTTCTTTGCTGATCGATGGTAATAAATTGGAAATCTGCTCTGGCAACCCTCACAAGAACCGTACTTGTCTGGTGTGTGAAGATTGTTTTGTTACATGTCGTTGTTATTAAATCAATATTGTATATTTTGTTGTTGTTAACTATATAAGACGATAAAAATGTAGAATAAACATTTGAGAAAATCTTAGTAATTTGTGATTATCCCTTTGGAGGTATAATTTAGGTTCATTTTTTTGCATGGATATACGATTATATATAACATAATACAAGCATGCTAATGAGTTATTTGACTACAAAGACTACAATCTTTTAACCGTAATAAAATACTCCAAGTGAATTCTTGACTGAAAGATATCTAAAATGGTAATTTGAAAGGTAGGACAAAATATTACATGAGTAAATTACTTGCATTAATTACTTTTCAGTTCAATTAAATTAATAACATACTTCTGCCGTACTGCGTTACAAGTATAAAAAGTTAAATTAATATGTAAGTATGAAAATGCAGGCAAAAAGTGGAGAAACACTGATAGAATATAGAGTCCGATATAAAACATGAACTAAATATAATGGTAATAAAAAACTACTATATTAGTAGAATTCGCTTAGTGCTTACAACCCTGAGTTGGCTTCCCGCTATATTTGAATCTGCAATTGCCAAGGTAAGGAAATTTTATATTTATTGCATGAATATTTAAGGTTTTGGTTGCATGGATTAATTAATAATACATATTATCCATGGATGACAATACATAGTCAATTAGTTAAATGTTCGATCTGGTACTTTTATTTTATATAACTAGAAAAATTAAAAACTCGTACATATGGTAGGGCGCTACATTACTTATATGGTCAAATAAGAAACAAATTATATCGGTTTTTGCCTTTAAAATTTTTCTTGGACATTTAACTTAATGTAGTAACTATTGTAGAACACATTTTTTTATTTCATATTTAAATATTAAAATTAATAATTTTATTAATTAACTAATTTTTTCCGGTTTATTTTACAAACTGTAATAGTATATTGACAGTAGGTATATCATAAGTAGCAAAATGTTTATAGCAATCTTTTTTATCTCACTTCTACAAACATCGAACTACCTACTCGGGAAAAAAAACGTAAATATGATTTACAGTAAAGAACGACATATTAAATTTTGCGTAATAATTATATAATTTTCCTGTGTCCTATATCTGAATGAATGCTCAAGTAATATAAAGATTGTGGAATTAAATTTGGGTGTGTATGTGATGAAGGTCGGATCTGAGATAACCGGCCAATAACTATTGTCGCTAAAACGGTGCACGTTCACTTTTTAACCTCTGTGGTCAGAGTGAAATGTTCACCATAAGTTTAATAAAAAATTTAAATAAAAATAAGTACCAGACTGATCATTAAGTTTTAATATTAATTAAAACGCAAATTTAGTTTGTCCTATATTAATTACAAATAAGGTTTATTACGATTTCTTTTGAGAACTTTGTATAGTTGAAAGTTATAGGTTATCAATATTTTTTTTAATTAAAAATTGTTTTTATTAGGTTGAAATCAGCCACTTAACCTCAGAGATGTGCCATATAAAGACATCGTCCTACGAGGTACATCAACAAAGCGAAGAAGATTGCTGTTAATAACGTATGTTAAATTATTCCAATAAGTACTTTAGTAAGGTAGGCGCAGTAGTAAATAGCACGATGTATAAAATTCCCATAATCGATTGAACTTAACGGTTAACTTTTTAAGGTTTAAAACTGATTGATTATGGATAATAGGGATGACGTCAATTTTTTTGTTCGTCCGTCACTTAGATAGTAAAACAATATTAAATACGTATTTTTTTGAGTAATCATTAAATTACGACGATACATTGAGTTAAAATGTCACATGTTCATTTTCTACAAATCCGAGACGTAGCGAGCCCCCCCACTCTTCAACTTTAATGCCTGTTATCTAAACCATTTCTCGTTAAATTGAAAAAAGTATATAAGATTTTTCTATTATCTGAATGACGGACTAAATAGAATTTCTTATTTTTACCCTGTCATCATCCCTATTTAAGCTATTGGCTTAGTTTAAAAAAATATAATATTGTCCTTTGCAAAGTTTTTTGGCAATCTCAATAAGCAGAAAAAAAATTGTAATTAAGAGGTTATCCAAAATTAATAAGTTTCTTCGATTTATTTTCAACCGTTATTCCTCAGAAGTCTGTAATTAATTGCGGAATTTAATATAACTATGTTATACTGCTGTGTGTGTTTATTACTGAATGTCTTGCCTTTGTAATTATAAAAGTTAACTATGCGTATGTCCCGTAAAATGCTAATGCGCTGGAACCTTGTCTAAATAACACCCGCGTGACTCATATATTATTTATTAATTATTTATATATTTATGAATAATCTCGAAAATATTTTATAATAATTTCGATTACTTTTATTTTGAAAAATGTATAATAATAACGCTATAATAAACGGAAAGATATTTTTTTAAACATTACCGAAAGTGATAATGAAATAGGAGACATTAAATATATTAATTATTAGTGAAATTATGTTTACTTATTATAAAAATGATACTGATTTTTGGACACAATAACGTCATTTAAATGGCGGCCAGGCGAATTAGCAATTTACGAGGATTATACGTGTAAAACTTTGATATTATAATTATTTTGTATTGATATTACGCAATATATGTATAATTTTTGTTTAATATAATCTAGAATGTAACTACGTAAATGATTTACCTATACAGGAATTTTGTAATTTTTATTATATGTAAATAATTGTGCGCTGCTATGGATTGATTTTCTAGTATGTACTATATTAATTAATCTTTAATAGTGTTTCATAACTATATATTGTACTGGCAACATTGTAATAACTACCATGTAATCGATATCAGTTATTACTATTCGTTATAACAGTTACATATGTCCATGATATAACTGTCTGCTATTAAAGAAGAATAGATAATATTTTGTTAATAATGCTGCTCTTTTAAAATTATCTGTTTAGGTTCTACATATATCAAAAGTTAAATAAGCTTAAATTATACAAAAAAAGAACAAATTCCTACTATTATAATTTTATTAAAATAGAACATTATTGTTAGACAGCTATGTATCATAATACTCACTTATATATAAAAAAAAAACTATATAAAGTTATGGTAAATAGAGTTGCCGTATCTATACCATACGACAGCCTAATTAACCTCTAATGTCAAAAATAGGCAAAATCTTACCATTAATCGTCTACCGTTATAAAATTTCAACATTCAAAAAGCTATTAGTCTAATATATATAATGGTTGCTAAATTGTTATAACGCTCTTAACTCTACTGTTATTTAAGATACATTTCTACCATTTTTGATGAAGGATATTGATTCTACTATAAGCTTAATTTTAAAATCGCAACCCACCAATGAAGAAGGCCATGTAATTTTTAATACAAAATTGAAGCTCACAGTACCTACAATAAACTCAATTCATTATATATTCATTTAACTTTCTTCTAAGCTCTACTATACATATATGGTAGAAAAAATCTTGTGAGTATTTCCATTTTAAGTCATAATCATACTGTAATGGCCACATTTAATATTTTTCTTTTTTAAATGCCTTTTATTATTTTTTTTTTATATTACTTACAACAAATGATGATTCGTTTGATCCTCGAATTTCATATTAATAATTTTAGCTGAATAATTTATCTAATTCTGTTATACTAAAACTCTCTAAATTAAACTTAACAAAAAAACTAATTTGAATTTGTTTTCACGTTATTGCACCGTCACGTGTAATTAAAAAATAGAATAAGTTTCTATTATAGTTATCTATTTGTGTAATAAATAATAAGTTAACTTCTGTTGTAATTCACGAATTGAAGGGCTAGTTGGTTCTACCACAAAAACCGATACCAAACAACATTAACA